GTAGAGACATATCCGAGTGCCTACGACGCTGATTGCGCGAATGTCTCCGTGAAAAACAAGAGTCGCCGCGGTAAAATATGTGATCACTTAGCGACTTGCAATCAAACTGCCGCGGATCCACTTTCGCCTTGGACAATCTACTTTTTGCCACTCGCAACTTTTGCTTGTTTCGTGATAAACACGCACTTTTTGTAAATAACACGCCATTTGCGATGTAGATGTTCTGTGATTTGATGAGTCCAATAATTCAGACCAAAAATTATATTTTGTAGAATAACCGTGTATTAGTTTATCTTAGGGTTAATAATTATGACTGTATTAAAATACTTATGATGAAAGATCAGAATATCAAGAGCTTTTTAAATAAAGCTCCTCAATATTGTCAGCAATAGGCTCGAGAAAAATACGTAACACATCGTTTTTTTTTTTAAATAAATCTAGTAAATTGTCATTGTTTAATTTTATGACCTTTAAAAATGCGACACTCATAAAGGTAGCTTAAGACATATCTTTCTCTTCTTAAAAAAGCTTGGGATTATTTAGTTAGTGGTGTCAACTATACAATTCTCAAATTACGACCTACTAATGTCCGCTTTATTGCAAACAACAAGCCAATTGAATTTATTTAGCAGGTTGATATTTTTTGTTGAGAATAGAAAGGCAAGGCAATCACTAAATTGAAATAACTTGAGTCGTTCTTCTGGTGCTGAAGTTATAGACACTTGCTATGGCTAAGAAGGTTTTATCGCACATTACACAACCCAAGAACAGTTAAAGAGTTTGCATTCGTTAATTAAAAACAGCGTACGGCCGCGGGGACAACGCGCATCAGGCATGTGGCTGGAGGGCGCAAATCGAGTTAGCCCGGCCTGCAGACTTATGGGCTTATAGACGCCACTACAGGCACTTAAAGAGAATATTATGCAATATTTACATAAAGTAGGTATTAGTAAATTATTGTAATTTAGTTAAAAAGAACACGTATTAAAAATATCATCTTGTATTTTACGATTTTATGCATCTAAAATTGATTCTTTATTCCTACGTCATAGGAAAAACTTCATCACCTTTAAGCACTGCTTACTCTAATTTCCCAACGATTGACTGGGAGATAATGCTATGTGGCACTAACTTCGCCTTTTATAATAAACATGCACGTTATTTGATGTTTTACTATTTTATTAATTTTAAAAAATCTATAAATTATGAAATGATTTGTAATAGGCTAGTTGCCTAAAAAATTATTTTTAGTCCGTAATGTTTAATATCAAAAAATATTGGACACGTATAATTTTATTTGTCAATCTAACAAATAATTACATAGTTATGGTGCGTTGAAGTTGCGCACGACGTCACAACGTGCGGCATTTTTAAGCAAGCGTTGACGTCACGGGCCTCTTCTTATGAACTTTGGGGCGCTTTATCTCTTTAAATTTTCATTAGTTTGAAAAAGTGAAAAATACGAGTAGAGTATTTTTTGATAAATTAACTGACGGACTAATTAAAACTCTTGCTTTTTGACCCAGGCAACATCCCCATTAGTATAATTGAGTTTGATCGAGCTTTGATCCTCGTACAAATCTCAAAGTACTAAAGCTTTTTAAGCTCTAAAAGCATGTGAAATGATTTTCCCACAGAGCAAGTCTATCAGACGACCTTGTCTATGGCTCGGGGTAAGTGGAGTGCGGAGAACGCACACCGCCCATAACCGGGACATTATCGGATTAGGCGGCCGCCTGCCGCGTGCGCGCGCGACGCATGCACTTGTCTTTTGATTTACTGTCAAGTGTGTCAAGGTTGCAGCGTAATTGTTATCAAAGACTCTGGCTGATAGTAGTTGTTGTCTTAGGTCTCGATGGAACAACAATAGTAATAGTTTGGGATGGTTCTGTAACAATTTAAGGAAAACTCAAAAAAAAACTCATTTTTTTGCAAATAGGCTTTTAAAAAGCACTTTTACACGTCCCAATCTTAAAAGAAAATGAAAATGAAAATAATACCTTCTCTTGAATAAATAAATAAATAATATTATTTATTAAGATATCTTAGAAATGATTTTTATTATTCTCTTAATTAAAGCCGGTAGTTTTACCTACATAAATATGATTATGAATTTCAGCGTTACAAAATTCTTTAAGAAAAAATAACGTCAATATTATTTATTTGTTATTATTCTTTGTTTTTTTATTTATTTATTTATAATGCTGACTAATATAATACTTACATTATAATAATTTTCAAGGCACCAATAATTAATATTATAGGAATAATTCTGAGTAGTCCGTAACTAAACAATCAACGGCAACGTGATAAACAAAAATAACAAACGAAAAATCGTGTCGTAATGAATATATAAAACAGCGTCGTGCGACCGCGCGTCTCTTGGGAGAGCGGCGTTTGTCGCACCAATATCAATATTACGAATATTATACGCGTCATTTTCTCATGCTCACCCCTTACCCCGCGAACTTGCATTCGCACCCCGCTGTGTTCACATGCGCTGTTCTATTACTAGAGTTTAATCTTGTAATTTTGATATATTTCAGTAGGTACTTGATATCAAGTTAAAGATTGTGACCTTTTGTATAGTTGTAATACTTAGGTGCGATTTTTCCACACAAAAATTAAGGTTGATGTTCTGTCGACTCTACATTTAACTGTAAGAATGTCTGCACAAACTGCACATACCTAAGACTTAAAGAATTTAGAGTTTATTTTATTTCAGACATCTTTTTCTAAATAAAAATGTAGAGACTGAGTACGTACGTAAACACTGATTTTAACTACACTCGGCATCAAATAAATCGCACCTCCCGCAACAAGCACTTCTCAAACGCATGCATTCCCACTTCCCACCAAAATTGGTTGCATTTGAAAGCCTAGTTCTAAACTTCATTTCATCAAAGGAAAGGTTTTTTTTACCCCAAAAATGTGTTTGAAAAAGGATCCAGAGTCATTTCTTCAAAAAATAGGTAGTTACGCTTGAGCCAAATTTTATGGCTATAAAACTGTTAAATTGGGATTAATTGCTATCCATCTGTTAAAAAGGACACGCAATATCATTATTTGGTTTTAATAACCACAAAAATTTATCTAATTGTTCCCAGAGGTGTGCCCAAAATGAGGCCTTTTTTCAAGTCACATTTATGGTACCTGTTAAGTGTTTATAAAAAAAAAAGTATTTTTCTTTAAGTTTATTTATTGAGCTTTCAAATAACACCAATATTGATAGGGCACCATGATTGTGTCAGAAGAAAATCTTTAAAGTTCACGTCACGAGTATTAAAATATTCGGTGAAACACTGCATTTTCCTTATCACTAAGTATACCCACCCAGGACACCCTATTGAGGTAAGTCTTTGGGTTGATATTAAGCTTACTCATAGAATTCGGTATCAATAAAATTAAAATAATAGGTAGGTATACCACACGTACATTCTAATAATTCTAGTAGACTGTGGATCCAAATTTGACCATTGCGGGTCAAAAGTTTAACTTTTCCAACTTTTTTATGGATTTCGAACTGAATTTTGATTTCATCTTAAAGCCTCTAAAATCTTGAATCACAAGTTTTTTTTAGCTTTAACCAAAAAATGAAATGAGATTGTTGGTGACTTAAAACTTTTTTCAACTGAGCTTTTTAACACAAAATAGTTTTTGATTTTTTTCCGAAAATATTACCTATATATCTCTACATTTAGTACCAATTTTATATCACCATTATTCAATATTAAAAACGTAAATATAGGTGATGATAATTAATTAACATTTCTAGCAGTCCATTATTTTATAGTAAACTTTTACCATTTGTCCAATTTGAAAGCCCTAATAACCTGAAAATCAGGGCTATCACTTATAACTAGCAAATAATGTGGGATTGTATTGGAACGCCCATCCTTATGCCAGCACTCGCTGTTTGACAGAGGCTTAAAACATTGTAATTTCTGTATTTTGTAGTTTTGTAGATAAAAATAACAGTTGCATTATCAACATAATACTGTTGAATATATTGGTAGAATTATTAAATGACACCTTTACGAAGATAGGTTAATAGTGAAAAATGGGCAACGTGTATGCTCGCTGTTTGACAGCTAAAAATAGCCAAAAACTATAGAAATCATAACATTATTTTAACGATATAGGTATCAGCGAAATTTTGATGATCATAGGTATCGCTAATTTATTTAACTGGTTTCAGGAGGTCTAAGGAAATAAGTAAGTACTTAGTCAAAAAAAATTCAGCTTAAGTAGTTTTGAGTTTTGATTTTTATGTAAGAATAGGTATACAGATTCCAAAATAAATATTGCGTTTTATTTAGTTTTTTAGTTTTAAAATTTTAAGTTTAAAAGAAAGTTAGGTACATATTCAGTACACTCATTTATTATTCAACTTAAGTTTATAAAAAAAAAAGAAAGGAAAAATAGTTGCAAAAATCACAGTTTGTGAGATTTCACAAATCATTTTCCATTATAAATATTAATAAATTACAGCAAGAAGAATAATGTAAATAAAAAAATATTTTAGTGTAAAAAAATGGTTAGTGCCTGGATAGGCACAGGCATAGGCATAAATAGTTTCTTCTTCTTTTCTATTGGAAAAACTCATTTATTAAACAATAATAAAAAAATTATAATGCATTACTTAATAACAACAAACATATCAATACGAAATCTTTCAGAAAGTTGCAGAACAGCATAACTCCGGCAAACAGAATATACCTATAGCCATTCATTAAGTGGGTACCTGGATCGTTAATTACAACTTTTTTATTTTCCTCAATGACAAAGGAACTGTCGGCGAAAAGAAAAGTAGACAAGTGTCGTGACACGCACCCCCGGCGAAGCGCGGGCGCGGGGCGGCGGGGGCGCCGGCGGCCAATGAGCGGCGCCGCCGGGCCCGCCGCCGCGGCCATTGGCGCTGTCGGGGGTGCGCGCCCCGCCCCGTCCTCGAGGCTCGCCCTTATTGAATTAGGCTTATCATTCGATTTCGAGTGGGGCGACCGCGCGGACCTCCGCGCCAGCAAAAACTATCGCACGGATCGGATACCATCTGTAATCGGCATAATTCGATATAGCGCGGCTCATCCAATTATGCGGCTGTGAGCCTTCGCGCGGCGACTGGAGACGAGACGCGCGCCCCGCGCGGCGCGGCGCCCTCGCGTGGTCCGGAGCTGATGTCAGGCGAGCTGGTGAGATAGCTGGACAGCATGGAGTACGGGTACTTGAGCGGGGCCGGCGGCGGCTTCGAGGGAGGATGCCTGGGGTCCGGCGGCGGCGAGCTGTCGTGGGGCGAGCTGGCGTCGTGCGGCCAGATGTCGCAGGCGGCGTACCGGTACCAGGGCATGAGGTACCAGCCTCCGCCGCCGCAGTGCGCCCGCCCGCAAGACGCGGCCATGAGAAACCACCACATCTTCCCGCCAGCGATGAATCTGCAACGTAAGTTACACTTTTTCCATTCAATGTTATTGTTGTAGATTGTTCTGTTGGAACTCTTTATTTTGATTGGTTGTGACGTCATATTTTTTATCTGAAATGGCATTAAATTCTCAAAAGCACCAGTTATTGTTAAATACAGAGGCGTAGTAAAACACAAACACATGAAAAATATCTACATTAATCCTTTGTATGGTTAAATTTCAATGTACTAAACTCTTGGTATAAACAAAATAATATTAAAACTACTCTCACATAATAAGTGTGTGTTGTGGTAAAATAAATGTTTGAATTATACAAAGAAAACTATACATGATGTGAACCATAACATAGGCAAGCATTTTCACAGATTTTAACCATAATATTAAGGAGCAACATTCGTAGCATGATTTACCTACCTCGTAGCAAGCCCGTAGCCGTAGCACTCGTAGCAAATCTAATTTTTAACAATTTTCTGAGAAAAAACGAGAAAAAATAAATTAATAGAGATTTTCCGCTGACTACAGACATTTAATTGGCCGTTGGTAGTTGGTCAGCTTCTAATTTTTATGAGTAATCGGCGGATATAATTTAATGTTGGTATTGTCCTTTCTACCTACTTCGATAGTGTTCATGTCCATGAACTACTTATTAACATCCCGACCAAACTATCAAATGACAAAAGTCTGTAATCTGTTACACATTATTATAAAAAATAAGCAATTAAAATTTTAAAAATATTGCAATATTTGTTTTCATTTTAAATTTTGTTAGGTTGTTTTAATTGTAGTTTCATATTAAAAACTGTCTTGTATGAATAGATTGAAAGGCATACTGTAAAAATACTGTACTTACGAACAAACTTAAAAATAAAATGTTCTCAAACCATAACTTTCAACTTTAATGCAAAGAAGGTAGTATTTTATGCAGCAAAATGCATTGTTTTTTTTTAAAGATTTTTTGTCGCATTGTTTTTCACAATTTAAAATTAGAAAATATCAGGAAGAGAATAGGTATTGGTCAGTAAGTAAAAATTTTCAAATTCCAAATTCTGAATTACAGTGAAATGAAACTACACCAGAGTTTATGTTATTGCAAAAAATGTAACTTAAAATGTATTTTATGTTACATTTTTAGTTTGTGCTAGATTAGATTTTAAAAAATAGTTCTACCTACATCTCCGAATATCTACAATTGCTTTGAACCTGGTTGGGTATTTGTGAAGAGTATTTAATATATTTTTTACATTTAATTTACTATTATTAAATCGGATGGCAGTCTATAGAGTACGTACGTTGTGTTTTTTATTTTAGTTGTGTACATACATCAACATGGTCTAGGGATATTTCAATTAAACCTAAATAACTAAAATTCTATTAACTATTTGTTGAGACACCTACACATTAAAATAAACCTTGTTTAATAGCCTATCTAATCTGATAATAAACTTTTAGATAAAGTTAAATTTAAAAAAAACTTAGAAGAAGAGGAAAAACTCACACACAATCTTAACTTTATTTTTGAAACAACAAAACTTTTTTTTTTACAAATAGGGGAGAGTTCGGTATATTGTACCGCCGGGTAAATTGTACCACCCTCATATTTCGTAAAGTATTTATTGAATGTCTGTAATTGCAACACTCAGCGATACACAACTAAAATAAATTGATATCGGCCATGTGGTTTTTGCCGTGACAACAAACACGTGTGTTTTATTTTGAAAAGTATTTTTTCATTGTTTTCAAGTAACTTTTGACAATACATGTTTAGTTTGTAACTTTGTTAAATTTAATCACAGGGTGTTTCTAATATATTATTTAGAAGCGTAAATTAGCGTGGATTACAATTATTTGAATCATTTTTCGGTATTTATAAGCTATCATTTTTTACCGATTTTTTAAAAGCACTATCACCTAGTCGGCTAAATTGTACCACATCAAGTTGTATGGAACTTTACCAAAGGATTTTGAATTTTTTTTTAGTAAATCATATTTTGAAGTTATAATAGCGTAGTTATGTTTGACTAACAATAAATGAAAGCAAAAGACTGGCAAAGTAGATTAGGTACAAGTGTGCGTTACGATAATTGGAATTACAAAACTTGTACTCAAAATCGTGATAACGTGTAAAACAATATCGATTGTCTATGTTATTAACTACTGTTCCTTTTCGTTTCCTAATTTGTTAAGAATGTATCGTATAATATTTTGCCATAGTTTTTTTATAGGCTTGAAATTTATTGAAATCCAATTTAGTAACCCTGTGGTACAAATTATCGAACCGGTTGGCTAAATTGGACCGAAGCTCTGAACTCGTACTTTGTTGATTTGTGCTAAATATACAACAATCATGTTAATTAATACTTATGAAATAGTAAGTTGAATAATGTATCTTTTATTATATACCATGGACATTAGCAAAAACAAAAGAAAACCATGTGTAAAATGGGATTGAAAAAAACTGGTCCAAATTAGCGGACTCTCCCTTATTATTGAAAACTTAAAATTAATAATCCGTGGATCCACCTAAGACTCTCCTGTTACATCTGCATCGGTTCTGTATACTCAAAACAAGAGTGTCAATATCCTGTTGTGGAATACTGTCCCAAGTTCTGTTAAGATGCAAGAAAAGTTGGTTTTTATGCACAATATCTTCAGGGAAATTCCTAAGAGCTCTTCTCTGAAGCATATCCCAGGCATGCTAGGAGGATTTAAGTCAGGTGCAGGCCAGTCTAAAGAAAATCTGTTAAAATTACACCCTGTATTTTTGTTGCATCGATCGCTACGATTAATTAGGATGAAATCTCTCTACTAAACTTGATAAATTAAATGATCCTTTAATTTGACCATGAAAACTGAAACCATTTTATTTATTTACAAAAAATGGTATGGAATGGTAGTGAGTGAATTTTCGAAAATTTTCGGAAAATATTTGAATGCAGTTTTCTTTCACTTCAAAGACAAAGGAATTTTTCCTTTGAGTAAAATTTTCTATCTACAGTAGAGTAATTTCCCTTCAGGTGGCATTACAAAATTCCACCCTGTATTGTAACACCAAAATTAAATGGTGGCAGTCTTCTATGTATAATACTTGCCAAATATTGACTTACCGACAACGTGGATGCTTGTAAAAATTGTAATTAAAGTATTAGAATTGGCTATACAGCGATGCAATGGCTTATCAAGGTAAAGACATAGTAGGTATATGGTTGTAGGGCTGAATTGCTCCACATTATTTTAACCGATACTTTAACCAAAACCGGTGTTTTTTGTATGGAGTTTGACAGATTTTTGATGTTTTTCAATGTTAAAATAAGATAAATAAGAGTGCAACTCAGCCTCAGTATTTGGTGCTATTTTGCAACTGTGAGTGAGAATCACAGGTCCCAATGACAGTGACGTGTAGTCGGTTGCACAATGGACAAGTTTCTAATTTTTTTCTTTTAATAAATTTGAAATATATGTAAAACTAATAATAATATGTGAAAAAACATTTCTACAAATAAAGAACTTACAGGGCCCTAAAGTTGCGCATAACAAATATTCGCGCCATTTTGATCGGTGTACCTAGTCACGACAGTCATTCAGAGTACAAACAGTGATTACTACCCCTGGACACGGTAATACTATCTATACAGTATTCCAACTCGGTCATATTTTTGAAATAAATGTCAACAGCCGCGCGGTACTTACATCACCGTTTGACAACATGCGATAGGGCTGCCCACCTGCGCACCCTGTTTTCATTACATCTGCCTTCTTGAATTTCTATCTAGTTTTGTAAATGTATTTTGTGATTGTAATTTTTCTTTTTTTTTCTTATTATTTCGCTTACCCGCATTTTAATTATTAAAACAACAATATACATTTTAATTTCCAATTAACATCTGTTTAACGGTAAAAATGCTTACAATGGTGAAGTCAGAAAATTGTTATCATAATTTTTATAATTTTAAGTTTCATACAAATCTGATATTTATTTTGAATGATAATAAAAATAAAATGATATTCACTGACTTCACCATACTATTTTCATGCATAAATGTTAACATGGGCTAGTGTTGACTTATAAATCCATTTACCTAACACCCTGTATAAATAGGTACTTGTAATTATTAAAAAAAAACCACTATGTTTAAAAAAACACATTGTCCGTTTATTACTGTGGCACATTCGCGACACCCCCGACTTTTGCATGTCGAGCGCATACCGAGATTTGAATTTCGAAGGAAAGCTCGAGTTTCGTCCGTTTATATGAAGTTACAATACTGTATGATAGTATTACCGTGCCTGTTCATCTCCGAGAGTTTACATCGAAAACAAAACACGCACGATTGCCCCTGAGTACTATTGACAAGAGTACTATTCGACAATTATATACCTGACAAGAGTACTATTCGACAAGGCCTCACATACGAGCGAACATTGACTCACGCACGCGTATTCTTGTGTATCATGGACCTATAAAAAAAGTCGGACGGATTCTCATCAACAAAATACTGTGACATTAGGATACACCAGCTTGCCTGTACGTACAGGCCGGCACGCACACATTCACACCCTGATACACCACTTCGAGTGCAAACTTCACACAGTTGACACATTTAAGCAGTGAAAAAACAACACGAATACGACATGTCTTGTGTGATGAAATTGTGTAAAAACCGTTCTGTTCGAACAAATAAAAATTAAGGAATCACATTTCACAGGCAAAATAATAATCCAATCACTTATTTCCCGACATTAAAATATTGAAATCAAACGTCATTCACTCGAAAAAATAATACGTCAAAGACCAGTGTTCTCAGTTATTTACGTGGGAAAGTTACCCGAAATATGGGAAATTAATAATAATTTTAGGACTTTTTAGTTATTTGTTACGCATACTATGGAAATAAAATAATTTATCATAATAATTGTGTTTTAATGGGATATATTTTCATAGGCAAATTTGATCCTTCCCAAAAATGTGGAACTGCAAAATTCAAATTTTCTTACATTGATTGCAAGTCAGTGTCAGGTTGT